AGGAATATGGCGTCGAGTGGGGGCGTTCTGCGAATGCACTTGAGGGCAGAAATTCTGCACAATGACGGTAGCTTTGCTGAGCTTGTTCACCCTTGGTCGTTCGGTGGATTGGACGTTTTGTAGTGGCTTTTGTAAATGACGATGTCCCGAAGGAAATGGTATTATTAAGGATAACCTGATGCCAGACCAGGTGCTACCTCCTGCTAGAGTCATATATTTATCTGCAATGGTCCTTATACCGCTGAGCCTCCCTCTCTGGGATCATCGATGGGGACATTCCTGATTTGCGCTCCGGTTTTGTTCGTAGGACCATCGACGTCACCTAGTTTCCTATCAGTCAACTTCTAGTACTGGCGTACAAGGAGAGTCTTGAGCCTTACCTGTGTCTCTGGAAGCTTCAGATTGCTCTCCAACTTGCTGCGCGGTATCTTGTCCTCCTTCTTGTGATCCCCGTTGACCATGGGTAGCAGAGGATGCATCGTCGACCACAACTTCCTCCGATCTCTGGCTCAACTTCCTCCAAAGCATGGCACTAATGCAGGTCGCCAACAAACCAGCAGTCGTGACTCCCATGACGATCTTGCCAGGATGTGAAGCAATGTCATCGTCAATCTCCTCAATAGCCCAGGGATAACACTCCGAGTTGACGATGATGAAGATTCCGAGACCGACATACAGGAACGGCACCAACCTTCGGGCATACTTCTGAGCAATGTGTAAAATATGCTTCTGCCGCATGATGAGGTATGCTGCGCAACACCATACCCCAAGCATGATGTAGTAAACGACGATATATATCGCTAGTTCTCCAGCTTTTGCTTCTGCGAAGAGGGGGATGTACGTGCTGATATTGTCGGCGCCGTTCATGACAGTAATGGAAGCGACCTTGAAAACACTCTTGAACCCATCGGCAGCCGTCAACTCTTGATCTAGAGCCTCCTCTTCGTCCTCATCCTTGCTGAAGATATAGCTCAGAATCCGCCATATACCCAGCAATATTGGTATGAGGCCGAGAAAACCAATTGGTTCGGCAGGAATGAGTAGCGACGCGCCATAGCCAATCATGCTCACAGCAACAATTACTGTAAAGCCGACATATTGTCCGATGGCAATCTTAACAGGCGTGAGCGACCGACTCGTCGTAGCCTCAGCGAAGAAAGCGACAAGAACAAAAATGTCGTCGACGTTTGTGACGGCGAATGTCGCACAGGCAGTGCCAATGGCCTGACCAAAGTCAAGACCCATGATGATAGTGACAAGGGAAAAGGGAGGGGGGAGGGGAATTGGGCAGAGCTGAAATTCAGTGTCAGATAAAGCTGGCCAGCCCCTAGAGTTTGATCAGTATGCTTAAACCTTAACCATATCCTATTCAACTGAATGATTGATTTGATTTGCTGATTGAAAAGGGAGAAAGAGAAAATTTGTTCACCGCGTACACGCAACTACCGGATAACTTGAACAAAGCCGACTTGGCATCCTCAGGAGTGAACTTGGCGATCCACATTTATACGACGAACCCAGTCATGTTTTGTATATGTATATTAACAGTCCATACGATGAGCACACGATGGAATCCTGAAACAATACTTCGTGTTCTAGACGAACTGGCATATACGCGTCAAGGAATGATCTCAGGGTCTGTACCCTTTATTTTCGGCCTGTTTTGAAGGGTTTTGATGGGTGATGACGACGTTGGGTGATGGGTTCTTGGCTGGTGGTTAGTGTCCGGGTTGGGTTTAGCGAGGGTCAGAGTGGCAGTGCAAAAGAGTGCTACTGTGCTTGGCTGGTCTTGTCAGTTGGATCTTATTCTCGGCATCCCTTGAAAGATGGGCAATATCCGTATCAATTCAGCATGATTTGAACAGCATATTTCTCTTCATACTCACCCTTTCCATCACTGCTATCTTGTTATCTTGTTATCTTTTTCTCATTGTTCACATCTTTGCTGGTCTGAACTGTCATTAGGCAAATGCCAATGCTTTGATGAAATACCTTGGCGTTTAACATCCGCTCTAGATTATCCGACAATCAGTCAAAACCTAGGAAATTGTTTAACCGAGGCATGTCTACCCGTCTCGGATCGTGAATGCGGTCGACCTTTGCAGATATTCACATGTAAAGGGCCCTCGATGTAAGTCCTTCGATGAACTCTCCCACGAAACGTTTCCGGAAGTACGGACTTGAGGCTAAAGCTACGACGACAGGGCTTCGAGCGTGAACTTACCCTGGTTCTTATTCGGTGGAACTCTTGTCATACTCGCCATCATCATGTAGGTCGCACTGACCAGCTTGCACGCCAGTTGAGGTTGACTTGCCCAAGTATCTTGTTAAAGTTCCGAAGCTGTAATATCCGTCGAAATCCTCGGATGACTGTCATTCGCGTACCGCCGAGACAGCGAACGCCCATACAGCGACATAACCTGCAGACGCTAAACCGAGCGAATCCATCCATCAAGTACAAGGATGTTAGAAAGCAATCAAGCGTGAGCTCAACAGAAATCAGCCTGGCAGAGATATGGTGCGTCAAAATGCTATAAATTTAGAGTCAAGCTAACGTCGATTGCTATGCAGTGCTGTATGTCTTGAGACTCTGGGGGATGAGGAGGATGTACGTCGGTTAACATGCGAGCACGTGTTCCATACCAGATGCCTAGACTCTTGGTTCAAAGAACACCACGTCGACTGCCCACTATGCAAATGCATCTTCGTCCCCAATTAATGTCTAATGATCAAATCTGTTGTCAAAAGCGCGCGGCAAGGTTGAAAAGGAAATGTATGTTATTGAAAAACTATATAGCTCGAATCTATGTAAACATTATAAGAGTACAGAAGATGAAGCAGATAGATACGAAAGGAAAATGATGGTCAACAGAGACAAAGCCTGTCGTCGCTCAGGAAGCCAGGAATGACGAGCAGGCTGAGCAACGGAGACCATGTGATCAAGACAGAAAGAAATGAAGCTCTTCAACAGAGCAAACTTGACACAGTCACTTCCTCCTCAAAGGGGTTCCCTCTAAGCCTGGGTGATCTTGGGCTGGGCAACAGAGCCCTTGGTGGTCTTGCAAGCAGACTTCTTACCCTCGGCCTGGGTAGCCTGGTGCTCAACAGCCTGGACCTTGGTGGCTTGGTGCTCGTTGTTGCGGACCTTGGTAGCGAGGGTCTTGGGGCTGTCGGCCTTGACGTTCTTGTTCTCGTTGGTGGTGTCCTTGTTGTTGGTGTTCTTGGTATCGTCCTTGTATTGAACCTTGGTGGCCTGGGGCTTGCTGTTCTGGACCTTGGTAGCCTTAGGCTGCTTGTTCTCAACCTTGGTGACCTTGGCCTCAGTCTTGCCAGACTTGTCCTCGTTCTTCTGGACCTTTGCGACCTTGGTGGCCTTGGGCTGCTTGTTCTCAACCTTGGTAGCCTTGGCCTTGTGCTTAACAGAGTCATCCTCAACCTGAGCGTACTGGGTGTTGTCGTCCTCAACCTTGGCAACCGTGGTAGCCTTAGCCTTGGGCTTCTGCACCTTGGTGCTCTTGGGCTTGGGGTTGGAAACTTCGTAAGCGTCGTTGTTCTGCTCCTCAGCCTTCACCTTAGCAGCCTTGGTGACCTTGGGCGCAGCTTTCTGGACCTTGGTAGCCTTGGCAGTACCGACGAGACCGCGGGGAGCGTCCTCAGTGGGAGGAGTAGTAGGGACCTGCTTAGAAGAACAGCCCTTGTCAAAGACAAAGAGAGTGTCGGCGCGAGCAGGAACCTTGGCAGCAGCAACCTTGTAAAGCTTGCAGACAGGAGTGCTTGATCCGCTAGGAAGACCATACAGGAAACTCTGGCAAGAAGAGTCCGCCTCGGCAAGAGTCTGGCAGTCCTTAGCAGTAGCAGCAGTGGTAGTCTTGAACGGCTCGACATCACTGCTAGCAGAACCAGAAGCAGCACAGTTGCACTTCAAAGATCGGCGAACAAGAACCTTCTTATGCACGGTACCCCAAGGCTCAGAGGTAGTAGGCGCAGAGGTAGGAACGCGATCAGCAGCACACTGCTTATCAAAGACGTGAAGACCGTCCTTGCGAGCAGGAACTTCGGAAGCTGAGACCTTGAAGAGGAGACAGGTAGGCTGCGAGTGGCCCTTGACGAGACCAAAGGCAAAGCTCTTGCAGTGGTCATCGGAGGCACAGAAGGTCTGACAGTCGATGGCGGTGTCGGCTTTACCGGTATGGTAAGGCTGAACCTTGCGGTTGGAAGAGGCGCTGGGGGCGATGTTGCACTTTGGGGTGGTGGAGGCAAAGGGGCTTGCCATGGCGGAGGCCATGGAGAGGGAAAGGAGGGTGAGAGAGTACTTCATTTTGAGCTGAGTCTGTTGAAGAGATTGAGAAAGTTAAAAGAGTGTGGTTGAAAGAGTGTGGTGAAGATGAACGAGAGTGTTGTTAGAATGTTTGATGCTGTGATGAGAAAACTTGAGATTGATGGGAAAGAAGTCCAGTATTTATCCTCGAGAGTTCGACCATCTACCGCCGTTTGTCAATGCAGTTGAGGGGAGTCTTCTCTGAGTGACGCGTTTGTCACGCTATTCTCTGTACAAAGACCCTCAGTATGGAAGTCTGCATGAATCTGAAATCAATAGTCTGGAAGCTAAGGCCCAAACTTTTCAGATTGAGAATCGTGATGTGGGAAAGAAGCATCTTGTCGACGGACCCAGGCTTAGGAGTTCCGTCATCTAGCTTCGATGAAGACGGACAAGTCTTGTGGCTGGCTGAGCTTTTGGAATCGTAGCAGAGGTCACGGCGGCGAATGGGAAGAAGTCTAATCTGCATTCGCTCCTTGAGACCCGAGTTTCGTTGTCGATGAGGATCTCGACGATTTACGGAACAGCTGGCTTCCCCCTCGACCCGATGGGGAAGGATGAGGTCTGCAATTCAATCTCGTGTCACTCGCTCTTTGTGACGAGTGACTCTCGAGAGTTCAGGGCCAACTATGAGATGCTCCTCCTCATGTTCTTCATTCAGCTGGATAATCCTCTCGGCTTGGTTTCCGTGAGATCCTGTATCGACTGGTGCTTCTCAGGAGTAGTTCGGAAGCGCTCTTTCGATGGCCTCATCATTCATCCGGATTTTGATCTCGATCCCGAAATTGGTCATTTCGTCGGCCACAATACACCTATGAGCCGTGGTACCTACACGCCCGATAGCCCATTATTTCCGATTTTCAGACAAATTGTCGAATCATCATAAAGTCTATTGTGAACTATTGATTCAGATTCATGCAGGCTTCTGCTCTACCGAACCCAACTTCCACTCTCACACTCTTCGAATTCGTAAGCTCTTTCTGAGCTACTTCGAAATAAATGGTCAACTCGGGTTTTGAAACGTTCAGCCACTCTTAGCCTCAATGTTGAGGTCTTCGCGCTAAACCCCTGCATCTTGACAGTTGACATCCATTTCTCCCAACAGAAACACCAAACAAGTCAGCTCGGTAAAATCTTTCTTCCGTTTCATCTGAAGAAAATACAAGAGCGTCTATTGGTGAAAAGTGCCGAAATCTATTTATATCCCGAAAGCTTGTCACTGAAGCTAATGCCGGAGCGGGAAGTGGGATGATCCGCCGGCCGGGAGAGAAACATCAAAGCTATGGTCATTGACCGGCTTGTTCGCTGAATGCCATGATCTAATAAGACCCCTCTCCCTTGGTGGTTAGATTAAGAGTTGTTTAACCGTTGATCGATTGATTGATCTGTCTGGCTGAGGCATTTCTGATGCAATCTAGCTTATCTCTCAAAGAGGGGTAGAATATCAGATGACTCTTCCATTTTGAGAAAAGGCAGCTCCTTCGAGCACAATGCCCTGCTAATTAGCACCATGCATTCTGATAAAAGTGGTGGTGAATAAATCCTGCGCAATTACTAACCTCCACGTGATCCGGCTCCAGGTTCTATGTAGTATTATCCAACTTGGTACCTTCTCTTTTGGACTGTAAGTAAGATTAGCAGGAAATTAATGGATCGATGTGACTCATGCCGAAATTCAGAAAACACCGCAGCAAAACCTCTATATCTTTTTCATCCAGCTCATAAATAGAGGGAAACAGTTACACTCCTGTATCAAGACTTACATAGTGGCTTAGTGGATCATTGCATAAAAGGGCCAGAATACGAATCTCTAAAATAATGGCAGCCAATACATCCCATCAGCAACCCCGCGGCAGGCTCCGCGATGTCATACCAGAGGCACATCTTGGCTTTATGTCCCCTGGTCCGAAGAATGGCATCACAGACGTGCCCGGTGTCCTTGCCCATACGACCACTATCCGTGACGAGAGTGGGCAAATTAACACGGGACTAACCACCATCCTCCCTCGGAAAGACTGGTTCCACAAAGCCTGCCATGCCGGCGTCTTCCGTCTCAACGGATCTGGAGAAATGACTGGGACACACTGGATCGAAGAAAGCGGTCTCTTGCACTCGCCCATTCTCATCACCAACAGCTTTGCCGTTGGGCCATGTTATACCGGCATCTACAAGTACGCAATTGAGCATTACGGAAAAGGCGAGGAGGGAATCGATTGGTTCCTACTGCCAGTTGTCGCTGAGACGTTTGACGGGCATCTCAACGATCTGAGACAGTTCGCCGTGACGCCGGAACACGTTGTGCACGCTATCACCAATGCTTCCGATGAGCCTATTGCCGAGGGCAACGTGGGCGGCGGGACAGGTATGCTATGCCACGGAGGTAAAGGTGGCACCGGGACCAGCAGTAGAATCGTGCCTGGGCAAAACGACACGTCGTACACAGTTGCCGCTCTTGTCCAGGCCAACTATGGAAGGCTCCAGCATCTGCACATCTCAGGCGTCCCCGTCGGGCGGATCCTGCAAAAGAAAAGGGCAAAAGACGAAGCCGCCGTTGCTCACGACAAAGCGTACAACGACGCAAAGGACAAAAAGGACGGGTCCATCATCGTCATACTTGCCACGGACGCACCGCTTCTTCCTGGCCAGCTCCAGCGGCTAGCCAAGCGAGCGACCATGGGCCTTGCGCGCGTGGGCAGCTATGCTCACAGCCCTTCGGGAGATCTATTCCTCGCGTTTTCCACAGCTGCTGAGATACCCGTGCAGACAGTCGCTGGCCAGCCCAAGACCATTGACCCGTTCAAACCTGAGCTGATTGATGTAGAGGCAACCAACAACAAGACCATCAACGGCTTGTTTGAAGCAGCAGCGGATGCTACAGAAGAGGCTATATACAATGCACTTTGTATGGCTGAGACAATGACGGGCAATATGGGCCGGACGGTAGAGGCCCTGCCACTGCAAGCCACCAGGGAGATTATAGCCAGATTTAAAGAAGCTGAGGATTCATTCTTGTAAATAGGGGGAGTAGTAGATGCCATAACTACCAAGGTAACCTAACAAATGTTCTTTCAAACCAATTGGCATGCTTAACCTTAGAAACTGTAGGTATTAGTGTCGGCAAATCGGACCAGGTTGTTGAGCTTTGGTGCCGATGACGTGGATGTTTATGCGGGCTTGGTCGAAACGTTTTTTGGGGCGCACTGTATGCAGTAGTTTAGACGCCGGATGTTTCACGTCGAGTGGATCGAAGAAACAGAAATGCACAGCCACATAGAATAAGCAGAATAATATCCAAGGCTCATTTGAAAAACTACCCGGGAGCTGTTAATTCGTGGTCTTTGTTCACCAAGTTTGGGCTGCATGGTGAACAAGATCAAGGTTGGCCCTGGTTGGGTATACAATCCTGTCTACGGGTGATGTCTAGCTACCTATTGATATGAACTCGACAGGCTAAGTGCGACTAATGGCAAGCAATCCAAGTACCAAAATCATTGAATATCCCAGCAATTCCTACGTTGAGTGTGACGATGCTCAAGCCGTGACTAGTATCCATGTTCTATTCATAACTTGAATATTTGCTTATGCAGAGCCTCAGCCGCTGACTCCACGCGGCTACTGCAAGCCTTGAATCCACGAACAAGCTTTTAGCGCAAACCTAGAGAAATTCATCCAACCTCCTGGGTTCCGGGTGATTTGTTTCAACGGCATGTGGGGGGATCGGCCTAATGCTGGTAAGCATCCTGCGATCATCTCTTCACAGCCGTAATGAACGACGGAACTTCCCGTCCACTGACAAGTTTAGTCCGAATGGAGCTGGTAGTAAACATAGCAATGACATTGCTAGTATCTCACAAAATTCGTCATGCTCTGAATAAGGGCACTCCTACTGGCTGAGCAACTAGGATCAGGCTTTCTGTGCCATGTAACTCTGGACGATGTACTTTGGTGAACTCATAATGGGGCACGTAAGCTCGGGACTATCAGCAACCGCACTGCTTGCATGAATGATGTGGACGTGGCTCCAGCTTCGAGTTGCATTGCCATTGAGACTGCGATGCTGTAAACTCCAGCAGGCCAAAGCGTCTGATCTTCAAGTCGTTACGGAAATAGCTGACGCGGTCATGAGGAGTTGCGGAACAATGCTGTCGTTGAGATCAGCGAATATGATCGACTCGAAAGGTATAAAGTGTTTCATGAAATCTCGACAAAGACTGACCTTCTACTCATCAACACAATCACTTCAATCGCACTCTCTCAACACACTCTCAACACTCTTTCAACTCACTTCAACTTTCAAGTTCAAGTTCAACTCCAACCATCTTTCATCATGAAGACCACCATCGCCATGCTCACCGCCTCAATGGCCACTGCCATCCTCGCCCATCCCTTCGACACCCGCTCTCAGCAGTGCAACGTCGCACCCTCCGCCACTTCCTCCGCCAAAATCCAACCCCTTTCCTCCCCAACTGCCTCCACCGCCCAGGCCTGCCAGAAGCTCTGCGCTGCCAACTCCTCCTGCAAGAGCTTCCTCTTCGGCCTGCCCGCCAACGCCAAGGCTCCCACCTGCAAGCTCTACTCCGTCCCTGCAGCCCAGGTCCCCAACCAGGGAAACAACCTGTATGTCTTTGATAAGGCCTGCTCCGACAAGGCTGTGCCCAACACCAAGCCTACGCAGGATAAGCCGCGCGGTGAGGTGAAGACCAAGGCTGCGAGGGATCTGGTCTGCAACACTGCGCCTACGGGGGCTAGCAACAGCAAGATTCAGCCTTTTGCTACGCCTAGTGCCAAGACTGCGGAGAAGTGTCAGGATGCTTGTGATGCTCAGGCGTCGTGCCAGAGTTTCCTGTTTGGTCTTCCTGCTGATGCTTCGGAGCCTGTGTGCAAGCTGTACAACGTTGCGCCTTCCAAGATTCCTCGCCGTGACGACGAGCTTTACGTCTTTGCTAAGGAGTGCCCTGCTGCCAATGTTCCTACCACTACTCCTACTCATGATGAGCCCCGCGGAGAGGCTCCTTCTGAGGAGCAGGCTGATAACAAGAGCAGCACCAAGACTGAAAATAAGGACAGTGGCAAGGATCAGGCTTCTACTGGTGAGAAGGCCAACAACAACGCTGGCAACAACGGAGAGAAGCGCAACTAAGCGGCAACTCCTCACTGACACTTCCATGAGGAACACCGGAGAATGCTCAAGATTCAGCCTTGGATGGTTGAATCTTGGCTGGGCTTGATACAGCGCGAAAAGTAATTGGGACGGCATGATAACTCGACTCGGGATATCATGATGGAGATTTGAACTTGTACTAGACATTCGTTTTCAGACTTGCAGTTTGCTTTTGATTTCTTTTTCTATAGTCAATAGATCGGCCGATCACTCAATTCTCTTCCTTTCGACTTTCATGTGACGCTTGCTTGAATTAATCTAGTAGTCTCATACTTCAGGCTGTATGATAGTGATTAGAGTCAAGGTATTCTGAGGATCTTCTTTACTCTTACTCATCTCAGCCAACCCCTGGTCTTTAAGCTATGCTATGGCCTGGTTGAGGACTTGTTTGGAGTATACTCAGGTCCGATACATGTTCTTGTTGCATAAGCTAATATTTGCAGTTTCTTGAGCTTCTGATGTTTTGTTGAGAGATTTCCAGTCCACAAAACGAGAAGTGCCTGCGAATTGCGTCTCATGACAGAAATGTGGGGTCACGGATTTATCGCGAATGCCCTCATCAATTGGATCTTGGGCTCTGTCTACAAAATACAAGCTTCAGGCACTGCATATTCAATCTAAACTTATCATGACTGCCTTGAAGTATTTGTTTTATTGTCTATTCTATTTTAAATGAGGTTCTTCAACTCCTGCTTCGCCCTAAACCGTCTTAGGTTATCAGCGATAAGCCCCTCCGCACCCTGAGGTCTTCCACCAGCCGCATGCGGTGACACAATAGTATTAGGAGCCTTCCAGATCCTGCTCGGCTCAGGAAGAGGCTCAGTCTCGAAAACATCCAGCGCCGCACCGCCAATCTCTCTCTTCTCAAGCGCATCGACAAGAGCATCCTCGTCCACAGACGTACCGCGCCCCACGTTGACGACCCACGCGTGGTTGGGCAATTGCTTCAGGCGCTGAGCGTTGAGGACATTACGCGTGGAGTCAGAGCCTGGCAGAATCATGACGAGAGCGTCGGTCTCGGGAAGGAGTGCGTCGAGGTCGTCTTCGCTGTAGACTTCAATTCCATTGCGAACACCTTTTCGGCGCGCAATGCCCCGAACTTCGGCGCCGAGGCCGACGAGCTGCGGGGTGAGGGTCTTTGCGATGTTGCCGAAGCCCCAGATGAGAACACGCGCATCACGCAGTGTCGTGAATGCATTCTTGGGTCTATCTGGCTGAGGACCGCCCAAATGGCCGGGCCATTTTCCTTGAAGTTGATAATCGCGCATCTCGTAGAAGCGGCGCGCGGCGTTGAGCAGCAGACCCAGCGCGTGCTCAGCGACAGTGTGATCGTGCAGACCCGAGCCCGTTGTGATTTTAATCTTGGAGGCATCGAACCCAGCACCCAGAACATCATTTGGCCCAGCGGCGAGGGATTGGATCCATTGGAGCTTTGTGAGGCGCTTTGCGGCGTCTTTTAGGTTCTCGGCTGTGTTTGTCCAGGTGACGAGGATCTCGGCGTCGACGTGCTCTTCGGGGATGGTCTTCTTGACGTCGTAGGGGAAGAGGTCGACGGAGAAGCCCTCGAGGCTCTGGATGTCGAGTTTGAGGGATGTTGGGTAGAGGAGCTTCATGGCGGGCAGTTGTGAATAAGAATTGGAGATGAATCTACGTGAGAGGGGAGTTTGCAGGGAGCGGGAGGTATATGTACGGATGCCGAAGCGTGGAGATGAGCGCATGATGGGCAGCATGATGACATCGGAAAGAAGACCGTTTTGTAGCAAAAAGGGCCAATCACAGCTCGTCTTTTACGTTGAAGCCGAGGCCGGAGGAGCCCCGCCGTGGGGGAGGGAGGAGTTTTGGGGGTGGTGAGCGAGCAATTGGGAGTTGGGATTGGTTGGATCTTGGACAGACCCCAAATCCCGCGGGGTGGCAGAGTTCAACGGAAACGATGAGGGCGAGAGTGCACCTTTTGTATTCTCATCATGTGAAGCTGATGATGGAGAGAATTGGCCGTTATGATGTGACGTCACGCATGGGATTTTGATGATAAGATAGGCTTATCGATAATGAGTTCCAGTGCAACACAAAAACCCCAGACGAAGTTGGCAATGCGTTTGACAACTTCGCGAGATGATAGAGGCTGCTCACAGAAAAAGCTAGCATAATGTTGGCTAACGTGCGATAGGTAGAACCGAGAACATTGTTCTCTTTGACTATTTAAAGAATAACTAATTGATGGTCTTGTTTTCAAGAACAGTTCAAAAGCTTACAACGCATTACCCTAGACCTAGCAAGGGGGGATACGAAGCAGCCACTTAATCGCACATATCCGTTGGACAATCAGGGTAGCAAAACCGTTTGCTGTGTATTGGTTACACCCAAGAGCTGTTCCCAAAGGACTTAGCTGACACCGAAGTCATGCTTGGAACACTACACGTGCTCACCGACTCCTTGGGAATTTGACCTCCTGGTTTTTTAGTCAAGCCCCAAAAGATCCATCACGTCGCGTGGAGATTGTCTTTGCCTGACCTCAAAGGCTTCAATACCCTCTGAAAACACACATTACATAACCATTACGCTCCCAAACTCAAGACTTGCAAAAGAAAACTCGTCAGAAACTGGTCTTTGTCTGTAATTTCTGCGCAGAATGGAGCTTGCTGGAGGCCGCCAGCCGAATCTGACACCCTAGCGCGATGGAGTCGGGGATTAAATAGCCCACGCGAGCTAAACATCGGCTTGTACTGGGGTAGTCTACAGCCCTATTCTCAAAGCTCAGAAATGACAAGACGGTACCTGATGAGCCCTCGTAAAGAAGCCAACGACTAAGATAAATCCCTCATCCTCCACCAACGGCGGAACTCCCCTCTTTGTTTGCACCAGATGACCTTTTTTCTTCCAGGGCTTGTGAAAAGGAGCAAGAAATGAGGGTTTCTGAAGCACCCCAGGGAGTTTGCATTGAGGCACTGGTTTGGTCTGTCTTGGGTCATCGAGAAGCTAATCGCGCTTTGCCACAAGATTACATCTGTTCCCGTCTATCAATGTACCCCGAACAAACCAAACGTCGTGTTTAAATCTCGCGATTATGTTTTATCATGATATGATATGACACAGCAAATAGAATGGCAATCTCTTGTCCAAAATCCAGTGGCTTGCGAAACGACCGTGACAGCGTTGCACTGGCGGGGACCCTGAACGCTAGGACCCGGCGCTAAAAAGCTTGTCTCGCACAGCCAAGACGTCGTAAATCGAGCCTCTAAAAGGGCCAGTCTCCAATTCTGAATCCCAAATCAAAGTGACTGGGCTGCCAGCTGCGCCCGTTGTTAGCGTCTCAAATCTCGGATACCTCATTTCATCCAGGCTTTGTTTCCTCACTGCTAGCGAGCTGCCAGATTCTGGCTAGAGGGAGGGGGTCCATTGACAAAAACCTGCATTTGCTGCAACCCATATCCATATCCGTACACCCACCTGCTCGGAAAGAAAAGGCTTGTTTTCTCTTAGCTCTTTGTGTGTCGATGCATATTTCTGTCAGTGGGAGTGCATTGATCACATTGTGTCTGTGCTGCATCATTAGTGAGACTGAGCTTGCATACATACGCGACAGGTTGCCCAGTTCAGGCACATGCCGAACCGGATTACCTAGACCGATCGACGCTGCGCCTCCTCAGCTAAGGATTTCGTCCAATGTCAAACGTGCCTCGATATTCCCTCACTTGCACCCTGCATATTCGTGCACGAGGACCAGAGACTCCCCACGATTCCTTCGCGTCATAGCTCATGGATTACTCGTTTAAGCGTAAACAGCTATCGAGGCAGTGCACATGGTGACCAACCACATGGCCAATCGTGTACGCACGAAACACCAAGTTGCTGATAACTTAACCACCGTATTGGTACACTCCCAGGGCTGGTCTAATATCATGACACCAAGGAGGGCGCACTCCACATCCTTCTCGTTTATCGACACCGGTTTTTAAGTTCCCTACGCCTCTTGATTCAGGTCCTGTGGAGAAAAGGGATCGAGAGAAGAGGAAAGTCGCTAATCCTGCTTTGAACGTTGGATTAAAGGCGGAGCTGAGGATTGTACCTTTACTATGGATTCACTTATACGAAATACATCAGCCAGCCTTTACGACGTCGCTTAACGCGAACCCTCCTGGAAATGATGAGCGATTATCCTGCTACCCACATGTCAAAACAAATATCAAGGCTCGCATTCTCCCAGCTTCTCCTCTCGTTTTACCACTCTATTCTACTCTGTTACTGCCCTTGACATCTCTTCTGTTCTCACTTGGTTAACCTGTTCTGTCCTCTCACCTTCAACATGATTGAAGACGAGAAAAAGGACGCCGCGCTTGTCGGTGAGCGCATTCACTGGAACGATGACGACGAAGCTGGTCGCGTTTCGCGTCATGGTGAGCGACGCTCTCGTAGACGCTCCCGCTCTCGCTCGAGGGACTCGTTGAGCATTCATCGAGCGGGCTCGAGAAATCGCGCTGATCCGTCGCTTGTTCTACCTGTCACCTATCGCACAGTGTAAGTCGCAATGAGAACAAAGGATGTAATTGTACTGATGTCTGGACAGCTCCTTCAACATCGAGGAGTCCAAGGGCAAGGAACAAGCTGAACTAGCCAAGGCGAAGGACGTCACTACAAAAGGTAAGGCATCCTTATGTAGCTCTACTAAAGTTGACTTGTACTAATGTCCGATGCGCATGTAGCTTTGACGGACCTCGAGTGGCATACCATCGCGCCCTTCGACGTTGAGAAACGCCTCACTACTTCATCCACCACTGGCCTATCGACCGAACAAGCTGAGAGGAGACAGCGCGAATATGGCAGAAATGCACCATCTCCCGCCAAGACGCACTGGTTCAGAACCATCTTTCTCTACTTCTTTGGTGGTTTTGGAAGTATTCTTCTCACTGGCTGCATCCTCGTCTTTGTATCGTGGAAGCCATTGGGTGATCCTCCTGCTGTTGCCAACCTCGTGAGTATGACCATCCTCTATCATTCAACAAGCTAATTCTTCAAGGCCCTCGCTATTGTACTCCTCGCCGTGTTCTTCATCCAAGCCCTTTTCAACATGTTTCAAGACTGGTCTACATCACGCACCATGTCTTCCATCAAGAATATGCTTCCCGAAGAGGGTCATGTTATTCGCGATGGTAATCTCGTCGACCTCAACGCTGCAGATATCGTTCCAGGCGATGTCATCAAAGTCAAGGCGGGGAACAAGCTACCCGCTGATATTCGCTTGATCGAGGCGTCTTCCGACGTCAAGTTTGATCGTTCTGTTCTCACAGGAGAGTCAAAGCCTGTGGCGGGTACTGTCGACCATACTGATACTAATTACCTTGAGACGCATAATATTGGCTTGCAAGGTACACACTGTATCCTTGGTTCGTGCACTGGTATTGTCGTTGCTACTGGTGATAGAACTGTGTTTGGACGTATCGCGAGTTTGACGAACGAGCCTAAGGTACAGATGACGACGCTTGAGAAGGAGGTACTGTACTTTGTCATCATCATTGCCAGTATCATGATAAGTATGATCGCTGTTGTCTGCATCATTTGGTACGTCCCATCCACCACCTCATCCTCCCATGACAGTACTAACATCCTTCAACAGGGGCGCATTCCTGAAAAAGAAACACCCCGACTTCATCAACGTACCGACACTCATCGTCAACTGCGTCAGCGTCGCCATCGCATTCATCCCGGAAGGTCTTCCCATCTCCATCACCGCTGGTCTCACCATCACCGCCAACCTCATGAAGAAGAACAAGATCCTCTGCAAGTCCCTCAAGACCGTGGAGACACTTGGATCCGTTTCTGTAGTCTGCTCTGACAAGACCGGTACTCTCACCACAGCAAGTCTCCCGCTCCTACTTCATGCCTGAGCTGCTCTAACAAGTTATAGGCCAAGATGACTGTCTCTGACTGCGCAGTCGGAGGACTCAACATGACTGTCGAGAATGCTCGTGGCAAGTTTGGCCAGTCTAAATCTTCTACCCATCCGATCATCCAACTTCGTGCTCTAGCTGCCCTCTGCAATGCATCTGAGTTTGATGCCGCTACAAAGGACGCTCCACTGGCAGACAGAAGGATCTTTGGTGATGCGACTGATCAAGCTGTCCTCCGATTCGCCGAGTTCGTTGATCCCAGCAGTGTCGATTACCTGCGTGCTTGCTGGAACAAGATCTACGATCTGGCTTTCAACAGTAAGAACAAGTTCATGATTCGTTGCTTTTCCTGCACCAGGACCGAGGCTGTAGCTCTCACGCTTAGCAAGGAGACTGCTTTCAACACAGACGATATGTGAGTAATCACCGCAACGCTGATTATGAGCCTTCTAACCATCGTATCTAGTCTCTTGACCATCAAGGGGGCTCCTGATGTTCTTATCGGTCGCTGCTCTCACTATGTCTCTGAACATGGCGAGACTATCCCTCTCAATTCTGCTATGCGGGCTACGGTGGAGCAGCTGAAGAACACATACTCTTCACAAGGTAAACGATGCTTGTTGCTTGCTCGCAAGACCGTCAAGGGCAGCGACCTTCCTAAGAACCGGCACACGAGCGAGTTTGAGCATGCAGTCACTCGGGAGTCAAACACAGGCCTCACCTTGGTTGGAATGGTCGCCATCGTCGATCCATTGAGACATGACATTCCTCATGTTGTGAGCACGTTGCGCGGTGCTGGCATCCGAATCGCCATGGTAAATCCTCTCCCTCACTGGTTAACAAGATCCAGGCTGACAGTTAGCAGGTCACTGGTGATTTTGCCCTCACTGCCCTAGCGATTGCCCGCGAAGCCGGTATCGTCACCTCCCAAACCGTCGATGATAGCACAGCCCTCCAGCGTTACAGCCCCGAGGACACCAAAGATTCACCTGTCTCCCACCTTGGTGCCATCGTCCTCAGCGGCCCGGAACTCATGTCTCTTAACGAGCATCAGTGGAAGACGCTTACTCACTACGAGGAGATTGTGTTTGCGAGAACAACACCGGAGCAAAAACTCCGCATCGTTCGTGAGTTTCAGAAGGGAAATGTTGTAGCCATGACGGGTGATGGAGTCAATGATGCTCCGTCGCTTAGAGCTGCTGATGTTGGTATCTCGATGGGTAGTGGCTCGGATATTGCCATGGAGGCTGCTGATATGGTGTTGTTGGATACTTTCTCTTCTATCATCATCGCTGTGCAGTATGGCCGTGTTGTGTTTGACAATCTGAAGAAGGTATGTCTTGAACCACTTCTATACACAGGATCACAGACTGACATTGATTCTAGGTCATTTCCTACCTCCTACCTGCCGGCTCTTTCTCCGAGTTCTGGCCCGTCATGGCCTTTGTCGCCTTTGGCTTACCCCAAGCTCTGTCCTCATTCCTGATGATCATCATCTGGTACGTATCCCTGCTACCTGTAGCCCGACACTCACTAACCTCGAATAGCTGCTTCACCGATTGCGCCGCCGCGACAATGCTATCCTACGAAAAGCCCGAAGCCGACGTCCTTACCCGTCCCCCACGCAACATCAAGAAGGACCGTCTCGTCAACTGGCAGCTCATCCTCCAAGCCTACGGAGTCAACGGCGTCCTCCAAACAGTTGCCTCCTTCGCCATGGCATTCTGGTATCTCCAGCGTCAAGGCATTCCCTTCAGCGAGCTCTGGTTCAGCTTTGGAAAGCTCCCTGCTGGTATCGATCCAGACTACTACCTCGCCAAGACAAATGAGGCATCGTCTATCTACTTTGTCAACCTTGTTGTGATGCAGTGGTTCAATCTGATGGCGACTAGAACCCGTCGGCTCAGCATCTTTCAGCATCCTCCTCTGTTCAACCCGAACACGCAGAACTGGTACCTGTTCCCTGCTATCATCTTTTCGCTTGCTATGGCTATCTTCTGGCTGTACATCCCTCCTCTGCAGCCCGTTTTGGGAACTACTCCTGTACCAGTTGAGCACTGGTTTCTTCCCTTTGCCTTTGGTATTTTTCAGCTTTTGTTAGATGAGGCTCGCAAGTTTGGTGTTAGAAGATGGCCTCATGGAATATTAGCTAAGTTGGCTTGGTAAACGATGTGTCGCCTCTGGCCTGTCCCTGGCTTCAGCGTGGGCACTCTAGAATATAGCTGTTAGTCCATGGGTAAACCTTTAGAGATACAAGTAAGTAGTAAGAATATATCATTCTAGTTCTATAGAAAGAATGACACCTTTATGTGATGTCATCTGAGCTTTCTTTGGGGCATATTGTGGAGTTTGGGGGATATTCCAACAGTGATCCCTTTTCTGTCGAACTTTAGTTGCCACAGAAGCGGACCTATTGGCTCCTCTGGGCCTATTCGTAAGAGGCTTTGAGAATTTGGGTTTGTCTTTAAACTTTGTTCTAGAAGTTTGTGTAGCTGAGTTCAGTGTGATAATTTTAAACTCTTGGCCACAGGTCTCAACCGCAAGTAACACATGTGGCTCACTGTTTACACTTCATGACACTCGTTTTGGTCGAATCATATAGCATACAAATATTTGCAAGCTAGTTAGGGATCAGAAAGGTAGGTTTCGGTCAATTTGACAATGGCGTCGAACCTTTCAGTATACTTTCAGGCATAATCTCAAAGGTTCTACATAACGGAAGGGAGAGAATCTTGTTTTCCTTTATTTGACCGCCCTTCTTGACATGCGTCGTCCTTTCTTCCTTTCTCTACGCTTCATCTTGTGATTGGAGTGCCATAAAACCCCAGGCATGGATCATTTCCCTTTCGAACGATTGCCCATCGAGCTCAAGATCATGATCATCAGATTTGCTATCCCCTCGCTCCCAGCATGCCTTGAAAAGAGTCTTAGCGGATGGATCTCGAATAATGGCTTTATGCAAGTAAATGAGGAAGATTTAAACCGAGTTCGCGATTCATGTCTGGAAATTAAGGCAATTTGCGATAGAATACGATACTTGGTGGTATGTACACGTGGACAAGAAGTATGTCGATTTGACCCTCTACGCGACATACTCGTGATAACGGAGCCCTGGGTTGGTTATTCCCGCGAGCGAGGGCCAGAATCCTCTGAAACAGGAGGCCCTCCTATCCGGCGCATGTTCTACGAGATGGGAGACCCTAGTCACCCAAGAGGAGCCCCAGGTTCGTCCCCCGCGCTTGGATCAAAAACCGACTAGAGATATTGACATCACTACAGTACTTCAAACAAGTAACGCTCTTCCAGAGGATAGGGAACAGACGTTCGCTGAGATGCCATTCGATTCTTCGTTACCTATATGGCCGCGCACCCCAATGCTCAAGGAGTTTACCTTGACCTCAGCTGTATGTGGTCCGGACTGGCATATCGATAGCTTTCAGCAATATGGGCCAGAAGTCAGCCCAAGAGACTGGCGATATACGCCTTGGATTAGCACCCATGGATACAGCAGTCAAAGTGGTCTGCAGCGTGTAGGCAAATGGCCTGGGTTTAGATACTGGACCGAGACGAGGAAGATCGAATTTAGGGCATTATCGTGGCCAGAGGTTCAGCCTTGGACGACAATGTTCCCATCAAGTGGGTGGGCAAGCCTTACCTCTGCTGAATTCATCCCTCACGAATTTGTTGCTCGACTATGGATCAATCGACCGGGAGAACCGATAGATGCTGAGCAATCACAATACGGTTGGATTGAGGTGAAGGCTCCCGAAGAAGGCGACGATTCTTGGGTAGAGCAGGTGACAACAACGTGGAAGATGGTCCGGTATTTTTTGAAGAGATCGAACGAACTTATGGATTTTGAGTGGTATCTTGATAATAAGTAAGGACCAAAAAATGAAGCCTGTGGTTGGGTAGCAAGACTAGTAACGGGGAGTAATGACAAGGAAACTTTGACGTCGTCTCCATCGGACTGGGCTGGAATTATGGAAGGCGACAGGCGACTGCTACACTGGAAGCCAAACAAAAATGTCTGGAAGATACATCACGCTTCACTACTCTATACACTGGCCCCATAGCAACGGACCATGCATGAATAGTTAGATGTGCGGTTGGCAAATCGCCCAGATAACCAAAGTTCGGAATTTCATCGAGAATCTTTTGCCATCTTCCCAGAACCTGACACTAGCAGAATTTTCCAAACCCCAGCCCATCTCAATGAACTCAATATCACCAGCCAAGACGGGGATACTTCTAGAACAGACAGGCCACAAAGGGCGATCACCGAGGAAGCTGAACCACCATTACAAAAGCAGGTTAAAGGCCAAGATAGAGTCGTCAGTGCTGGAACTTTACTGGCCGTTTCCTACCAACCCCCAACGAGTGTCGGCGAAGGAAATCCCGGATGCTTTTCCCGCTGTTAAAAGCCAAGAACCACATGCACCGAGGAACAGGATGTACTCCGTAAAAAAGCTTCGAATCGTCAGCGGTAGACTTGGCGGGGAGGAAACGTGCTTGTACGAGAAGCTCATGTTGCAACGGGAGGGGGAAGGAGTCGTGGCGCGGTCCTTGGCGAGAGCTTGGCGGGAGACGGGTTGAAATGGATGAGACGATGTGGGATATTGGCCCTTTAGTCTCGCTGATACAGATAAATCTGTCTTTGCCATTGTTAGATAGCGATTAAGCATGATCACTGTAGCCACCGGGACATCTATACACGCGTTCTTAGTCCTGCATGATATTCGCAACCGTGGTACGGATATAACAAGAAGCAGAAAAAGAATAACTTTAATAACTTTATTCATGTTAACCTTTTGATCTTCAGAAACCTGTCTCAAGCAGTGACACAATAACCCCTGTAATTGATATGTCTTGGCATCCGGGGAGGTTATCTCTGGGCGAACGATCTTCTCCACGTGGAGCTCTGACCCATCTGATTGGCTCTCGCCCCCTGTTCTAAAGAGCCTCTTTTTAAACTCTCAACGACCATCGTTGATGCACGTGGGTTGATGAGCGGCTATAACAAATTCCACGGAGAGGAGTGTCCTTTAAGATGCAGGAAATAATTACACAATCATACAGTGTTGTACACTTGAGTATTTCTGTCAACTTGCTCGAGTACAGGACTCTATTTCCGGTGTTGGCAGTTACGGTGGTACATTCTTCTTTGGGGCCCTGTTTGACGCTATTGTCGGCCAAGTCTGATGTTTTCAATACGCCCGGCCGTGCTGTTCACCCTTGTTTGGAGCTTTGAGGCCATGTCGCAAGCCCATCTGCAGGCAAGCAACTCTTCTGGTCTTAGCGTACGAGCATCAACTCCTATCACTCTTACAGTCAACCTCTAAACAACAGCTTCAATATCATCATTCAAACAGCATTACAGCAGGTATCCCAATCACAAGACATACCAATCTCATCGCCATGATACCAAGACCCTACCATCACAACCCCCACAACCTTCTTCCCGCCCAGATCTCCCCCTGCCCAACGAACCACGCACGAGATACGACTTCTCCCTGGTCGCGTGCCAAGCACACCCGCCAAGACGATAAATCTACCAAAGGACTCACCGAGGGACCTTGCCACTAAAGACGCATGCACCATCAAGCATAAGATTAAGCTTGTTCGCCAAGCCTTACCCGCTCCACACACCATGGCATGGTGATATAAGGAGTCGGGGAGCGGGCTGTTTCTGCAATGTTCGACATCAGTTCAATTCACTCTCTTCTAGAACCTTTCCAAGAGTGAGAGAGAAATCCGAGTCTTCGGTCTGCCTTGATCATGGTTCTTCATCAGTATGATTACATCTTTGCCATAGGCACCATCTTTTCGTTCCTTGATGCCTGGAACATCGGTACGTCTCCCACGCATATAACCTGCGATAAGATACTGACAGATTAGGTGCCAACGATGTCGCCAACTCGTGGGCTACATCGGTCTCATCCCGATCCATCAGCTACATCCAGGCCATGACCCTCGGTTCCATCCTCGAATTCGCTGGCTCCGTCGGTGTCGGCGCCCGTGTCGCAGACACTATCCGGACCAAGGTCGTCGACATTGACCAGTTCGAGTCCGACCCTGCTCTTCTCATGCTCGGTATGATGTGCGCCATCGTCTCCTCGGCGCTGTACCTTACATTCTGCACCCGCATCGGTCTCCCCGTCTCCACGACTCACTCCATCATGGGTGGTGTTATCGGCATGGGTATTGCGCTTGTTGGTGTGGATGGTATTCACTGGGCTGAGTTTGATAAGGGTATTAGCTCTGGTGTCGTTTCGGTCTTTCTTGCTTGGATCATCGCTCCTGGCCTATCGGGTGCTTTTGCTGCTATCATCTTCCTTATTACCAAGTATGGTGTCATGCTGCGAAGCAAGCCTGTCTGGAAGGGTCTTTTCCTTACTCCCGTTTACTTCGGCATCACTGCCTCACTTCTTACCATGCTCATCGTCTGGAAGGGCGGTAGCATCAAGGTTACTTTCAACGATGCTGAGACCGCTGGTATGATCATCGGTGTCGGTGCCGCTTGGGCCCTCCTCATCACCATCTTCCTCGTCCCCTGGCTCTACCGCCTCGTCGTCTGTGACGACTGGGAGCTTCGCTGGTGGAACATCTTCCAGGGTCCTCTTCTCCTCCGCCGCCCTCCTCCTCCCGCTCAGCCCGAGGGTGCTGCTGGTGGCATCAAGGATTTCTACGAGGGTCACCTCACCCGCGAGGAGCTTGATGGTCTTCGACGTGCCGGCCGCACTGGCAGTGATGAGTTCGAGCGCGCTCAAGACCAGACCAGCAATGAGGGTAAGGAGGCTGCCACTGAGAACAAGAAGACCTCCTCTGAGGGTACTCCTGATATTGAGGAGCGAGTTGAGCCCAAGGCTCCTCGCAGCCTCGTCGGTCCTAAGCCTGATGGAAAGTGGTTCAGCGGTGCTGTCCTCTACTGGTATCTTAAGAAGGCCTTCCTTTCTGGTGTTGACCAGGATATTATTGCCATGCAGAAAAAGAAGAGCATGCTTACCGGTGACTTGGATGAGATTCACGCTCACGTTGCTCACTACGATAATCGAGCTGAGTACCTCTACACCTTCATGCAGGTCATGACTGCTTGTACCGCTTCTTTTACCCACGGTGCCAACGATGTTGCCAATGCCATTGGTCCTTATGCTACTATCTACCAGATCTGGAGGACTGGCGGTCTTGAGGGTAGCAAGTCTTCTGTCCCTGTCTGGATTCTGTAAGTTCTGTGCTTGACACTCTTATAACCAACAACTAACTCTGTATAGCTGCTTTGGTGGTGCCGGTATTGCTCTCGGTATCTGGACTTATGGATATAATATCATGCGCAACCTTGGTAACCGCCTCACTCTCCATTCTCCTTCTCGAGGTTTCTCCATGGAGCTGGGTGCCGCTATCACCATCATCCTTGCTACACGTCTTAGTAAGCCCATTTGCTCTACCCTTACCACTTATTCCAGTGACTAACGCATTCTTCAGAACTCCCCGTCTCTACCACTCAGTGCATTACTGGTGCCACCGTTGGTGTTGGTCTCTGCTCTGGTACTTGGCGCTCTATCAACTGGCGCATGGTTGCCTGGATCTACATGGGATGGATCATCACTCTCCCCGTCGCTGGTGTCATCTCCGGCGTCATCTGTGGTATCATCATCAACGCCCCTCGCTGGGGTTATTCTGGCTAGAGTCTCGCTCTTTGTGTCTTATTGAGATATACATACACTCAGTCAAATTACCCTCTTGGGTCTGTTATAATATTAGAATGGATACGGAACCTAGGCCTGGATATCTTTACCGTGTTACGCATGCAGAAGGGACATAGGTTCAATTTTATATATGCCTTAATAAAAAGTTCTTTTATTAAGTAACGCTGCAGTGATTGGCGGAAGCTCAGAAGAATGCCCAGCTTCACGTTCGAGAGTATCTCATTACCTTGTGACTGTAGAACGACAGCACATCATGGCTATCATGTAAACCATTGAAGGGGTGTCCACCATAAGAATTGAACGAGAATGGCGAGGGACTTCGTGCCTCTATTCGTCGATAATAATCTTGATGGTTATCTTGAAAGCCTCGTGCTTGAAAATGCACCAATCACGTGCTACAACAACATTGCGGGGCAAGATAAGCATTGTCATTATGCCCAAGATGCCATTTCATCTCGAAAGAAACGACAAATATCGCAAGCATCTCGTAATGGATTACATTGCAAGCCTCCCGCTGGAGATTTTTCTTCAGATTTTAGAATATCTCGGGTCGTCGAGAGACTTAAGCTCCTTTACTCGTTGCGCTCGCTACATCTGTTGGCGGGCCTCCCAATGGCTCTTCGATTTCACCTTTGTAGAGCGTTGTCAAGTTCGACGTCGTGAACTGGTGTTCCAGAGTTTCACAATACGGGCTATCAGCCTTGACTCGCAGCGTATGATGCAATGGTTGATCTACCATGAACTCAGTAGCCAACTGAATGGGTTAGTTCTCTCGTCCCTCTTCTTATCTCAGTATCTATCGCTGACATCATGTCAAGTTTTGTGCCTCAACTTAAGCGCAAACACATCACGTATCTTCATCTGTCTATCGCCGGAGATGCCCCCCACGTGGCAAGTCATCTTATCAAGTTTGGCACCGATATTTGGGAGCCTGGACAAGGTTTGCCAGACCTGACGCCTCTGTGCCTCGCCGTGGCGCAACCACAGAATAAAGCATTGCTTGATGCTGGCCTTCGTATCGCTTCCGGTTACTCTCTACCAAGAACAACAGAGTACCTTCTGGCTAGGGGAGCTGATCCGAATAGGTTGAGTCGTTTCGGGCTGGCTGCTATTCATCTGGCAGCCATGAAAAAGGCCCCATGGCGAGGTTTTATGGGAATTTGTTATCTCCTAAATAG